GTCATCAAATTCCTCCGCGAACGTGATCAACATAAAGAATCTCTCTCTTCCGCCTGTGATGCTGCATTCTCCACTTTCCTCACCGAAATATCCACCCACTACGCCCTAATACGCGATACCATTTCTCACCTCGCTACCCTAGACTGTCTCCTCTCCCTCGCAAGCGTGGCTTCCCTTCCGGGGTACTGCAAACCTACCTTCACTTCCTCAACCGAAATCTCCGTCATTGGCGGCCGCCACCCCATGGTCGAACAACTCCTCCCCTCCACCTATATCCCCAACGACACATCTCTCTCCACCTCTCCGGATCATACACGCGCCCTTCTATTAACCGGCCCAAATATGGGTGGTAAGTCTTCATACGTGCGTCAAGTAGCATTGATATCTATCCTCGCGCAAATCGGCTCTTACGTGCCTGCTGAATCAGCCAGACTGGGTCTTCTAGATGGTGTCTACACACGAATGGGAGCTTATGACTCATTATTCGCTGCACAATCTACATTTATGGTTGAGCTTTCTGAAACAGCATCGATACTGAAATCAGCGGGTCCTAGATCTCTCGTTATTTTAGATGAATTGGGACGAGGAACTAGTACGCATGATGGAGTTGCAATCGCAGAAGCGGTCTTGGATTGGATTGTTAGGGAGACCAAGTGTTTGTGCTTATTTATTACGCATTATCAGACTTTGGCCAGTGTTGCAAGAGGATTTGAAAAGGGAAAAGAGCTGAGAAATGTGCATATGAAATTCACCGCCGAGAGAAATGGAAAGCGAGTTTCTAATGCTGATACGGATATGGATAACGATGATGTTGACGAGGAGATAACGTTTCTATACGAAGTCGGTGAAGGGGTTGCACATAGATCTTATGGCTTGAATGTGGCTCGGTTAGCGCGTGTTCCGAAATCAGTACTTGACACTGCCGCATCCAAATCACGAGAGCTGGAGACACAAGTGAAACAGAAAAAGTTATTGGGACTGTCTAATATGATTTCGGAAGTACTAGAGAATGGTACCGATCAGCTAGATCAGCTTATGATCGGTATGGAGCAGTTGTAAAATAAATATATGATACCAAGTCAAAAGATTAGATAGCAATGCAGAACCAGCATACCCGCGCACCGTGACCAGCTCTTTAACGCCTCATTTTCACTTAAAATAATTGTAGAATGTCTTTAAAAAAAAAGAAAAGAAAGAACGACTTTCGTATATAATATGCCTCCTCCGATAAAAATTCGACCACAACAATGGTCTGCCATAACAAATCTTATTCGAAAGTCAAAACGCCTTCATGCGGTAATGTATGAGGTCATGGCGTTTGAAACGTTATAAAAAGTAGAAAATCCCAAGATCACATACCAAAATGTAGCATGTTGATATTTGCAGCATTGGTGAGTGGGTCTGAAAGTTGTAAATGGTTGCTAGGTAAACGTGAACCATGGCTGACCGAGCTCAAGTTGCCATGAAAAGCTTGACCGAAAGCATTCATTGGCTTATTTTCCTGGCTCATTTGGGAGAAATCCGAGTGATCACCCCCATATGAGAAAGATCGAGGGTGATGATTGTAGAGTGGGTTGTACATTGATGAATTATCAAAGAACATTTGAGCTGGCAAACCGTGGTGAGGAGTCGAAACAGTTCGTCGGACATGGATATCAGATTGGCCGTTGTCTTTAGAGAACATACGCATTGCAGTTGGTTTAACAACTGGTGTGGGAGAAATCTGGTTACCGATATCTACGTTTGTGAAGCTGGTTGAGACACCATCCGAGAAGTCGAACCTATGGTCTTCTAACGGGCTTTCTGTACGACCTGGGCTAACCTCAGGGGCATCCTGAAAAACGTTAAAAGAACGCTTCTTGGCCCCCATCTCTTCCATTGTCATTCTAAACTCCTCATCTTCCTCATTGCTTGGAGTGAATCGAGCGCCGAATGCCAATGGGTTGAGTGTGGGTGTCGATTGCAAGGCAAGTTGACCAGCAGGCTGACGTGTTCTAGCGGATACTTGTCGCTTCTCAGGACTTCTAGCCAAGTTTCTTGGTGGTCGACCGGCTCTGAGACGGGGTACATTGACGCTAACATCTGCCAAGGCCGCTTTGCGAGTTCTTCGTTTCTTTGGAGTGGGGTCGCGAATCTAAGCGATTTGATATCAGTATGTGATGTTGCAACATAACCAAATTAGCCATGATCTTAAACAACGTACAGGACTAGTCTCGGTCGAAAGAGGACCGAAAATATGTCTGGAAGTTCGGAATGCCCCATCTGGGTGGTAGGAAACTTCAGTGGGTTGAACCTCCGCAGAAGCAGCCATCATCAATTCAAGAATTGAGCCATCTTTTCTCTGATTTCGCATTCGCTTCATTTCGGCAGTGGCAGAATCGAAGAGATCCATGCCAGGCCAGAATACACCCTTTAATTTTGCACTGTCGGAAAGCTTCTCAGTAATTTCAGCATCTGCCTCCTCCTTCAACGGCGTAGTGAGACTATACAAACCTGAGTTAGCATAATGATTTTCTACGATGAGACAGATGGTTGGCTTACTTGGTGGTATCCGATACAGTTCCTACTGCCGAGGGTGTTTTTTGAAGTGTATAGCCTGGAATCTGACGCCGAGAGGTGGGTGTTGCATACACAGCACTATGCTCCCACTCACTTCCCATTTCAGAGTTAGAATTGGATGTAGATGTATTGTTATTGATACTGTTGTTTGTTGCAGTTGGCCAAAGATGCATTCTTGGAACAGGAGCTCGAAACATGGGTGCCAAATTGGCCTCGTTGTCGAGGATATTGTCTTTTTCTTTCTTGATTCTCGTTTGCCCGGGCTGTTTTGGTTACTGTTAGTACAATCGAGCAGCTTCCATTCGTAAAAAAAAGGATTACCAATGCCTTGCTGTTCCTGGTCTTCTTATCCTTGGCAGCTTTCTTCTGATCTTTTGAGGCAAGTCTCTCGGATAGTAATCGTTCGAGATCATAGTTGTCGTACCAATCTTCGAAATTGTCCAGTTGAATCTTTGCTGTCAATTCCGACGCAGCTCGAATTTTAAGCTTAAAATAATTGGATAAATGGGCTTTGGAAGATGTATGGGTGAGGAGATGAGATACATCGGAGAATTGAGGATTCTTTGGGCAAATACTGCAGTGCAGTGGTATATTGGTGTGGTTCTTCGACATTCTGGTAGCAGCTATCCATCCAAATTCGTTAGTAATTGTGTGCTTGCACAGAAATTGAAGGTACACGGATAATGTCAGGTCTCCAAAAAAAGAACGAGAGAATTTCTGCAGATACCTTCCTCTGCGGTTTCAATGGAGGAAACCGCAGAAGCCAAGCCAATTTTGTACAAGAGGAGCAACTGTCCTTGCATTCTATGCCATTAACAGTATATTTGGACTCGAAGAAGCAATTGGTGTAACTCAAGGGTATTGCATTATGTGAAAAGGTTGAGCGGGATCAAAACTTACAGATTTTTCTTAATAAATGCTCCAGCTTTTAGTCGTCGATGGGAATGAGCAAAGGTAGCAAGTCGTCGATTACTTCTCCAAATTTGTGTGAAGAAGATGGCTTCCTCAAGATAGGACAATTGAGAAAGGACTTGCATACGACGAAGAGTGATGATCGACGGAAGGAAGAAGAGGTGACAACGACCGAGAATTATGATTTATGATAAAGAAGAAATGCAGAAGGTGCGTTGGTAGTTGGTTTAGTAGAGTATTGAAAATTCCGGAAGAGGCAATCACGTTCAAAAAGTACTTGCTATATCGGATCAATATGAGTTTCGCAATGGAGTTGGGACTGAACTGGGGAAAAGAATATCAAGGTATATTTATGAGTATTGGCCTGTTGTAATTTATATGATTGATTATGAAAAGAATGAAGATAATGAAGAGATAAAGGTCAAGGCCGGAAATTTGATTGTTTTTAGATGGTGAAAGCTCTCGAGTTCTACTGTAGCAGGATCGTAGACCACTGTTCTGTTCCTGTTACTTCGAAGACGTGAATTCGAATTGAGAATTTAACAAATAGGAAGCAATAGGAAATATAGGACAGTTTGTTGGAGTTTATCTTTATGACGTTGTCATGGAATGGATACCTAGAGTCGTTCTGGTTGAAACTCATGTTTCAAGTCGAGATGTTGAACAATTCAAGTCGAGGACAACGACATGTCTCCTTGTTATGTCTTTATTATGTCCTAACCTGTCTCAACAACTCTGGCTCAATAAACAATACTTGAAGTATTGTTTCTGTTTGCTATCATCCCTCTCGTCCCCATTGTTATGGGTGTTTCGAGACACGTTTGAAACCACAAGTAAACTACTCGAGAAAGTTCCTGTGATAATGGTGGTGCTCAATTTCTGCCAACTGATTGGAAATATAAATACTAGGGGAGCCTTTCACACGTCTCCCTCTGTGGTGAGAATGACCACACATGAGACCGCATCTCGCTTGGATTACAGTGGCACTTCCATAATTTCTCATGTCACTAGCCAATTCTTTTCTCTCATTCTTGCTCAACGCTTCACTTTACCTTCGATTCCAGCTGAATCACAACTCTACAGATAATAAATAGATGATGAAAAGTATTCAAGGTATAAATTTTTATTGAGTCCCTCATCATGTTTCTTCAATATCATGTGCCATTGACATTTGAGTGTTTATGCTACGATTAAGCCATAAGCACCTCATAGTAAATGAATTGTTATTCTCCTGCCTTGTATCCTGATACCACTTTTTACTCGATATAAGGTTATTAGATGGCAGGAGTTGAATGAAGTGAATACTTTGCTACAATAAGGAATCGCCAATAAAAAGGTTATGTTGCTTGACTAACTTACGTCGTCAGGTCGGACGTTGAGTATCGATGGATTTATGTGAAAAGTGGAACCTACGAGACACTTCTTTCCACTTACCGAAGCCACCCAAAGTTACAAAAGTCTGATGGACAGATCAATGGGAATACTCTCACCCAACTCATAATTCATAATGTCATTAATGCAGGGATATCTTAGGATTGCCCTAGCACTCGCTCAGTTATTCGCTTCGGCATACAACTAAAAGAGGTCAGCCGGTGAAGGTAAAAATGACAACGATCTGGAAACTCACTACATAGGATCGACCTCTTCGACACCAGGGAAATCTAGAAGAGACAAGCCGGCAACGCCGAAGCAGGTGTGGAAGACATCGACCATATCACCTGGTCTATCGGCGAAGCCACCTTCCTCTGTGTCCTGACACTTCAGGATGAAGTTGGTGAGTTTCTCTCCATCAATCCAGTGTAGCCTCCCAATCATAGCTAGACTCGTTGCAACCCACCAGCTGTAACAAACATCTTCTTTTTTCTCGGGTCTGCCATTCAGTCCGCCGCACTCGAGTTGCCTCTCACTCAGCCATCTACCCAGCTTATCAATATTAACCACATCGAGGCGCTTCGCAATTGATAATGCACCCAAACATGCAAATATTTGTCCCGAATGAGATTCAGCTCCAGGGCTAACCCCATAACCTCCATCAAAATTCGCACACGAGATAATGTAGTCCACTGCCTTATTGACATCCACCAAGTGTAGGGAATTTAGCAGTGAAAGTGCATTGAACGCCGCATAGAGGAATCTAGTGTCTTCCTCGCCCCATTCATCCCCAGCAAAGGTTCCCGTTTTCTTATTCTGTAGATCCGCAAGATCTGCACATTGGAAGCATTAATGGTAGCCGCCTCGAATCGACTATATGAAGACACTCACATTTCCCAACTAAATCTTTTCCCTTACCATCCAAGTTCTGCTCGAGATCATCTACCGCATCTACCATCACTAATGACTGCACGGCACTAACTGTATATAGTAAATGTGCATCATGGCCTGGAGCAGCTCCAAAACCACCATTTTTGTGCTGGCAGCTTAAAATGAAATCAATTGTTTCCCGTCTCGGCAGCGCATCAGGTCGACCAAGTAGATGAAGTGCAGTCAGCCCCCAGTAGAGTCCGTTTATTCGCAAATGTTCGGTGTGCCAATATTCGAGCTCATCTTTGCGCTACAAGCAGGAGATGTCAACAAGTGCAGATGGAGATTCGAGGAGGGTGGATACCTACGGAGTCGAGACTCTGTATATATTTTACATGGGACTCGATAGCGAGCTGAAGCTCCTCTGGCAGACTGGCAGAACCTGCTCGTCCCGGTCCAGATACGAGAGCCATGATTAAAAAGGTATGTTATTTTGCTAAAAGTGTAGATTATTGTGACCTCGAATAACAAGTCTACCAAGCTTAAGAGAATACCCCACCTCGGGAAAGTTGCTGACAAATCACCATCGGACTTGGTCTTGACATACCAGTAATTCGGAATTTGTTCAATCAGTCAAGGCAACTGAAATGGACATATCTGTTTCACGACTCGAAGCTGACGTTTAATATAAAATGCTGATAATCAATTCGTTTAGTGTCTCCACTATACAGCTACGTTTTTTTCTTGTAACTCTTTGACTCTTGCTTAATCTGCTTACATGAAATTCTCTTGACTGATAGCCACGTCCATCTAACCATAAAATATACCACAACTTCAAAGACAAGCAGAGACTTTCGCACTACCTTCGTTGAATGAGGTTTCCCTTTCCTTTGGAAACTTTTCTAAGCCTCGAAATACCCTTCATCGATTTCCAATGAAGCTAAAATCCATCCTACCATCTGGTCGACCAGGTCGTCTGTCAAACCAAATCATGTATAGAACGCTGTTATTACCAGACCAACGATTGCTCTAGCCCTGGTCATATCTTATTTCTTGAGTGAATTTGACTCAAGGAAGATTCCCATGACGAGGGTCATTTTAAGTTGTTCTCTTAGTGACACAACACTGCTCTGGGAATGAGGGTTTCACCATATCATGTGTTAACAGCCGCAAGTGTTTTCACGCTATATGGCAAAATGATCATACCACCGGCATGTAAAGCCACTTGATATCGGGGCGGCTCGGTAGTGATTCGAGTGAACGTGGGCGGCAAGCGCTCGAACATTTGCGGGCGTACAATCGGCTTTGCACTCGATAATGGCTTCAATGCATGAGGTAACGAGAAGATATATCTTGAACTTCAGCCATCTCATCCTCGTGAGGGGTTCATCCTGAGTATCGCACCTATTTCTCTAGTCATTTCGATAACTATGTAGTTATACGAGGCTATTTAAAGGCCAATCCCCATGCATTGTCCGATTTGGAAAGGCTGGTTTTGTGTGGACGATTTTGCAAAAGAGTCGTGGAATATTTGTAGCACCGAATATGTGGTAAGGGACAGCTGAGATAAGTTATATCCAAATGCACATGATCAGAACATAGTGGTTTTATGAGCGGATAGGCAAAGGCTGGGCGAGGCTGCGTTCGAATATGTGCAGTCTTCACGATCCAATGCAGTGGCCAAGTTAGAAGCCAACACAGCCCGAAGATGCTATCTCATTGATACGTGGAGTGTTCCTCCGGACCGATCCGACACGTTCATGCATTTCTGTCACCCGCAAATGAAGTATGGGGGATGGGCTGTCATGATTTTCCCCGACTGACGCATTCAAGTGAATGTATTAGATGAAGATTAGGGTCTAGGAATCAACATTTAATCTTTTAATTGAGTAATCAACTCCAAATTTCGCACAAATGCAACACATGGATGAGAGATATCGCACAAACACTGCCCGAATCAGTCTTACAATGTATGGTACAGTTATAAAACTGGTGAAGGGCCAGATAAGTACTATTGAACCCCGATTAAGGATCACAAACGAGTTGAATTACCGTCTCGCCTTTCAATACTCACAATGCATTTATATTGAATTTTTGATGTGAATGCCTCAGATGATTTGATAGCCTTTTGTCGATATATCTTCAACTCTGGTTTGCATCCTCAAAGAAAAGTCAAGCCGACCCATTGCATATACCCCCAAGTTTTTCAAGCAATTCTACTTCGGAGTGGTTCTGAGGGGTTGAGAAAGATTGAGATGAGTATCATTCTCGTAAAATTTGTAGGATCCTAACCATCAAGTACCTCGCCATAACCGTTCCGGAAAGCATTATCAACGGTCATCAGGTAGATAATCACTACCTATAAATTCTTTCGAAAGTCAGTACTCGCATTTGACAAGAGTAGGGAACCAAGTCAAATCATCAGGGCTCGTAACTCAACCAATCTCATCGGAGGGTTGTTGACAACTGCCCTTCCAAGTATATAGCCAACGGTCAAGAAGTAATAGCGACAGTATTGTCAGTAAGGAGGCCGCTGACAGTGGGTCTGATGTACGTAAGATTTGCTGCATGCTATCAGGTCTAGGCGGAGACGGAAATTTCAGACCTTACTTGTTCACGGGGTAGTAAAATGTACCGCATTGCTGGGATTTTATCAAACCCCACCCCAATTTTTGCAGACTTGAAAGAATGTTAGTACGGCCAACTCTCAAATCATGCTATGCCATGTCTTGACCTATCTTAACTCCCCCTGCAAGATGCTCTGTGTAAGCTGACTGAAGAGTTCTATTGGATTTCACATTCAACCCACTAATCAGCCCGGAACATCGGACTCACAATGCATCCTACCGCTCTGAATCACAGTTAACGAAGATACCTGTAGCAAGCAGCTGGTCGGTTGAGCTCTTGCATAAGTAGAGGGCAGGAGACTCAGTATGCCAGATTTGCAGTCAAATCGAGCTTTTCAATCATTCTATTCCAAAAATTTGCAATCATGGTCAATTCTAAACCTACAATAGTTTTCATTCCAGGCTTCTGGCATACTCCAGAAGGATTTACACCTCTCGCCAAGGTTTTGGAAAAGGAGGGCTATCACTCTGTTCTGGTCAATTTACCCAGTGCAGGCGCTCACCCCGGGCACCCTGACTTCTCACAAGATGTGGCCGCAATCCGCAAGATCATTACCGAATTAGCCGATGAGGGTAAGGAAGTCATGGTGGTGATGCACTCCGGTGGAAGCGTTAGCGGCAGCGAAGCTTGCCGTGACTTGGGTAAAAAGGAACGCCAAGCTGAGGACAAGAATGGCGGGATAGTGAGAGTCATTTATATTGGCATTCTATTACCCAATGTAGGGAAGACTATATTTGAAACGTTTCAAGGCGTGGTTTCGAGTCCTGATTTGGATCCGGATTTTGTGATTGATCAGGATCAGAGCTTTCACGTCTTTGCTGGGGTATGTTTTGATATATCTTCAAAGATAATGCTAACGTCCTGGCTAGGATGGCACTTCGACTATCACTGACGGCGACACGAGATTTTATAATGATCTCTCTGGAGAAGATGCAAAATACTGGAGCAGCAAGTTGACCTCGCTTTCGCTAGGGTGAGTGAGATGGCTAGATGTAAGGGTACTCTCACTGACGCACTATTTAGAGTTGAGATGTCTCCATTGACCTACGAAGCTTGGAAACACATACCGTCGGCGTATATCATGCCACTGCAAGACAAAAGCATTCCGTTGAAGCAAGTCCGGCAGATCGTAAAGGAAGCAAATATTGAGATGGTGTTTGAAATAGAGACAGGTCATTGTCCATATCTTGTACAGCCAGAGACAGTAGCTGGTTTCATTCGACAGGCAGGAGGAGAGCTTAACTGATTACTATTAGAGGACTTGAAACAATTGCCTCTATCGACCAAACAGAATTCGCCCTTCTTTCATGATATATATTTCATAGTCTTCAGAGCTAGCCCAGCCTCCTTTCCCTGTGTCTGTTACCAATTTACTTACTGGGGCGATACCCACAGTGTGGATTCTGCCTTTTCTATATAACTAGGGATGGGCGAATTATATAATTTGGGGGTCGATTATATAATTTCATATTATCATGCTTTTTGAGGCATATAAAATATTATGCCAAGCTTATGCACGTGTTTTTTGGCTAATAAAATCATCAGGATGAATGAAAGTGGGTCATTCTTGGAAAAAGTTTTTAATGGGTTCTAATTTTCAATTTAGTGTATAATTAGACCAAAAAGTCAGGTGCACTAGTGCTAATCATGTGATTTCTTTATCAATCTTATATAATACAAAATCAATAAAATTTGTACTAAAAGCAATAGCCATTAGCCTATTAAAGCCAAAAAAAATCTTCAAAATCCCCACTTTCTACAGTAAAAATAATACAATTTGACTGATATTACATATTATATTTGACTGACGAATATACGATATTATATATCATCAAATCGCCCAACCCGATATATAACCCCAAAGAAAGCCCATCCAGCAAATTATGCGTTATTCAAAGAGTCATCATCTCCGAAGCTTACATTAATACGGTGCACATATCCCAAGCTGCTGAGCATTGCGTGGCTGACTACCGACGGTGAATCGCAAGAATTGTTTCGAGTGCACAACCTCCGCATACCAGTACGAAGTGCCGGGGTATCATTGGATGCGAAAAGCTGCTCTGGTTCAATTCCCAGGGATATTTTGCAAGGGATCGTAGGTCTAGGTTCGAGAGCTTGGTTAGCGCCGCTTTAAATACGCTGTGACGAACTTAAAGCGGCTCTAGAATTCGGGAATCGGGCACTTTCGAAGTCCGAGCAGGCCAACTAACGGCGGAAGAGCGGTCGTGGAAACTTCAACAATTTGATTCATACTGGAGAAGCTTGATAAGCATAGAGGTAGGGTTCAGTAGGTACTATTTCTTCAAGTCTATAAATTCGTCATTTCATGCTTCAATTGCGTTCATTACTAGCGGACCAATCTCTTGCCCTGAACTTGATACATCTTTACTCATCATGCAGCCCGACGAGAAACAATGCGCGGCACCGCAAAGATTCTGGGACCTATACACTCCCAAACCACCAGTAATTGCTTCTAAACCAGTTAAAGTGCCCCAAACTTCGACTTCGCGGTTGGAATCAAGTGCTGTGCCGCTGCTTTCACCAGAGATAGACGACCGAGAAGAGGCAAAGACCGTCCTCTATCTAGCCTATGGCTCTAATCTCTCTGCCGAGACCTTCAAGGGGAAACGCGGCATTAAACCCTTGAGCGCGGTCAATGTTCATGTTCCTGCAATCGATCTCACATTCGATTTATGCGGGATACCCTACACGGAACCTTGTTTCGCAAATTGTCAATATAAGAAAGACCAATCAAATTCTCCTCGGACAAAAGATTACCACAAGACAAGATGGCATAAGGGATTGGTTGGTGTAGTCTACGAGGTGACTCGTGAGGACTATAGGACTATAATAGCTACCGAAGGAGGTGGCTCATCATATAAAGAAGAAATCGTGGAATGTTTTGTTCTTCCGAAAGGTAGCAAGACTGTGGATCCAAATCCTAGTAGCATACCATTTCAGGCATACACTTTACTCTGTCCGTTCAACAGCGAAGATGCGAACCGTATTGTTCGCCCGGATCCAAACTATGCGCAACCATCTGCACGATATCTAAAGTTAATAACAGATGGAGCGGAGGAGCATAATTTACCGGAGGAATATGTCGATTACTTGCATGGCATTAGATCGTATACAGTCACGACAATAAGACAGAAAACAGCGCAGATCCTCATCATGACTTTTATAGTGCCTGTTATCCTGACGCTGTTTGGACTGGGGAAGATTTTTGCAGACAAGAATGGCAAGCTCCCGGATTGGCTAGCTAACGCGATGCGCACGTTATTTAGATTCGTTTGGGTGGCTTATGATAGAATTCTGAAGGATAAGTTTGGCGATGGAGAGAGGACAATAGAGAGGAATGGGAATGATTTTGAAGAGATGGATTTAGATAAGAGGTGGGACGAGAAAAAGATGTCTCTTCTGTGAGTTCAACAGTGGGTGACATTGGGCGTCAATTTTGAGCAGTGGATATTTGTCAGGTGTTTTTATCTATCGGATGCAGCATAAAAATCGTATTATAGAGGAAATAGCTAATGTATTTTTGGTATATGTGATCGCTCAGAATGTCATATCGACTACTTTCGCTCAAGTATGATGGTATCACCCATACATGCACGCAGTTCTCCAAAAACATCGTGTACTATTCGTCCAGCATTTTGTAATGATACGCTGTTCGTATCTCGGCACAGAGTAGGACAGGAGCCAAGTAGTCAAACGCTGCCGAATTAAATTGTCATGGATCTGTCCTCTGAGAACATTCGAAGAGTTTTGGAAAAATGAACAGAAAGGCAACGGCAATCGGCAAGCTCTGTTTTCTAACTCAGTATCGGAAACCTTTAATACCTAAACCTCTGTGCTGTTATCATCGGACGAGAAGACAAATGATTCTCCAAATGAAACATCTCAGTCGCCCCCAGGCTTTCTGCCAACAGCATTGACCAACATCATACTTATATAAGCACCTTTCTGTACCTCCAGAGCCGCCTGTCCATACTTTTCCAATACATCTCTCGACCCTCCTCCTGCAATATTTGCCAATTCTTTTATGCCATTCATATGCATTGAAGTCCATGCACAAGCAATATCGACCTCGGGTTCGAGAAGTTGGCTATCCAGAACTGTTATTCCTCGTTCCTGGAAGATGAAACTGAGTTGGCGTATCCACCTACGGCATGTTAGGATACAGTCTAGTAGCATACTGCTCAAGAGGGAGAAAGAAGATGGAAATGGTACTCAAAACTGGTGAACTTCTTCAAAGGAACTTCATACATCCATCTCACCAACTCTTTAAGGTTGCTGGTTGATAAGTCCGGGGTAGCAGCTTTGCATGCCATCATGCTGAAATCCACTTCTTTCCACTGGATGTATCCACCTGGTCCTAAAAACGACAATATCAGTTCACTTTTCACAGTATGTCCCCCTTCAGAAAAGTAACGAACTTAGCAATGTCAACACATTGTCTAAAACATGTCTTGGATCTCCTCCAGGGATCACGACACAGAGAAGACTTATGTGAACCACATCGTACTGGCCCCTCAATCGCTCCGGAACAGGTTTGAAAATATCTAAAATATCTAGTTTCACATTTGGAGGGAGAAGTGCTGAATGAGGATATTGATTAGTTGAGATATCGAAACCGTCTAGTTGTGCGTTCGTCTTTGATTTTGCAAGCTCTTTTGCTAAATCTATGAGCCAGATTCTCCAGCAACATTAACTTCGTACATGTAGAATCTTCGACACACAAGAGCGCTTACCCAGTTCCACATGCTATGTCAGCAATCTTGATGTCTTGCTTGATTGGGATGCTGGGATGTAAAAGATGCCCGAGTAGTCTTTGCCAGAGCCAATATTGGACATAGAGACTTGATCAGTCAGTGTGTGAGAGCAAAGTTGGAGTCTCAAGATTCAGACTAACCGGGAAGAACCCAGCAGACTTCGCTCAAGGACATACTCTTCTTGAGCGGCTGAAGTCATCCTATCGTTCGTTGTTTTGGTAACAGGAGATTTTGAGCAAGTGAGATTGAATAGATCAAGAAATTTTGACTGTTCCACTACCAGGTTGAGCTGTCAATAAATTGACATCGATATCAATGACTAGTCGTAGTCATATGTTACCCGAGGTGGGCAGGTGCGTATCCTTGCTTCGATACTATAAGTCTCGAACACAACACTACTTACTTATTGTATTACATACCTCAATGCAACAATGCGTAGCAAGTAGTACAATATACACTATCAAAGTAAGGCTCTTTTTCTCTCATATTTAGCAGTCTAATTTTCAAACCTAGGTTCATGAGCTTCGTTTTGAGAGCTTTGGACAGGTATCGCAAAAAGAAAATAGTGCTTGGAAATGCCTCGCCACACTTTCATACGCCACCGCCAGCTACAGGTCAAAAGCATTTTATCTCAAGCGTAACTCGCCGACAATTGTATTCAGTTCTTGTCGTTTCACTTCCGGATCCTATATCTTTCCCTCTCTAGATGGCATAGCTAGGGTGTCGCGAATCGGTGACGGTTGTGGCACCTCCGGCATGCATCTTTCTTCTTTTCAAAAACCGATCTATAATATCAATCGATTTCTCACACTGCACATCGTTCTACTCAGAGTACTGGCCATATATGGGACTCAGAGTTGCACCGTAGCTACCAACAGGCAAAAATGTCTCCTTGAGAGCAGATGAAACTGATAGCATTTCATCGAAGTGAAAGCTTGATCTTGGAGGCATTTGAAAACTCTAGATATTGTGATGTCTTTTGTGAGTACAGTAAGCCCTTACTTCAGAAGGTAGACGTCAACGCTAGATGGAGAGGTTGAATGTCATTCTGACCGCTTTTGGCTGTTATTTTGGTCATATGTTTCGTATGAAATATGGACTTCTTACTCATCTCACATATCCGTATGTTCTAATTTCCTAATTTGTTTACTCCACGGTAGCATTCCTACTGCTGCCTTCTAAATAGTTAAGTGGTTCTGGAATATTTTATCTGGAGGTCCTAGGTACACCGTTCTTCTGATACCTTAAAACGACACAGGATACGTTTGCTATATGCGTCGATGATATGTAACAGCGGAAAGTGATATAGACACTCTTTAGAGTGTTTTCCAAGGGCTGGAATCTGGAATCGGACAACGTATCCATCAGATTCATACATCGGGTGTTAATTGAGCGAGGTAGAAGGAATGTATGGAAATTTTCCACTAAAGATAGTTCTTCCGACCCTTTCTGAGTGAAGATGACATCACGAAGAAGGCGGATAGCTCATACTCGTACGATGTCACTTGTCAATATTTTGACCCCTGTTTGCGTTAGAACCAAGGCAAACATACAATTCGATATGATACCTGGACCCTCAAAGCTCTTTCTCTACATGATTTTATGTGCATTAACCCTCACATGATCTGTCATGGCCAAATCTAGAATATTCCCCAGCCAATTCCGCTCTGCAGTGGATCTCCCCATCCTTGCTCCGACGTTCCTACGATTTCATTCGACTGCCGCATCGTCAAACTCTAAATTTACACTTAGCGTGGGGGTCAGCAGATCTATTGTGGGGTGGTATGATGATCCCTGAGACCGAGGCTTTTCCCATCTCTCTCAAACAAAGTCATCCATTACCTTCCTCCAAACTGCGACTGTGATATCCATCCACTCTCGAGCCACTGTTATGAATATTCCGCGTGCGCAGCGAACGTGGGGTATCATATTTGTATAGGGAAAGTGGCCCCTGAAACATCCATCCATATTTGAGCTATAAATATTGGGAATTTGTTGGAGCAGTGCTAAATTATAGTTTGTTGAGATGCTTTCTGATCAGACCTTTCACTGTAGTATATTTGTACGTAAGTGATAAATAAGATCTGGGATATGGATAGTTCATATTTCAGTCTATCGAAGCGAGTCAAGATTCACACTTACTCCTTTTTGTATTTAAGATGTTTTCCCTTCAATTTGTTTCATTCCCATTCTCATATTCTCTAGTCGACCATCAACTTAAAACCATCCTCTCTCGCCGTTGTGCAATATCTCGAACTTTAAACATAATTGAAAAATGACTGCTTCACACTCCTATACGAATGGCAATGGCTTTGCAAGTGGGCATCGTGCATTGGTGCCAGGAATATATGTTCCTACTGTTGCATTCTTCCATCTAGAATCTGAAGAAGTCGACCTCTCAGCAGTCGCCAAACACGCTTCCAGACTTGCCACTTCTGGAATTGCAGGCCTTGTTGTCCATGGATCAAATGGAGAAGCAGTTCATCTCACTCACTCCGAACGTTCGCTCATTACCTTAACTACACGCAAAGCTCTCGATAAAGCAGGTGCCTCATCCATGCCCGTTATCGTAGGCTGTGGTACCCAATCAGTTAAGGAAACACTCGAATTGTGTAGAGAGGCTAAAGAGTCAGGTGGAGATTATGCAATTGTTCTTCCACCCAGTTATTACGCATCACTCTTGAACCCACAACTGATATTGGAATTTTTCACACAAATTGCGGATGCAAGTCCAATCCCCATTATCATATACAACTATCCTGCCGCACAAGGAGGACTTGATCTTAGTTCCGATGTCATACTTACACTTTCTGCTCATTTAAATATTGTGGGTGTAAAACTCACATGTGGAAATACCGGAAAGTTGGCACGAATCGCCGCATCTGCCAAACCAACCTTCCTCACCACTGGCGGTTCTGCAGATTTCATTTTGCAAAGCATGGTAGTAGGAGGTGATGGGGTCATAGCTGGATTGGCAAATTTAGCACCAAAAGCTTGTGTAAAAGTCATGAGATTGTTCAAAGAAGGAAAGCTAGTAGAAGCGAGAGAGTTGCAAGCAATTGTTGCCAGAGGAGACTGGGTGGCTATCAAGGGAGGTTTCGTTAGTGTGAAAGTTGCATTGGAGAAGTTTTACGGATATGGTGGATTACCTAGGAAACCATGTGCACTGCCTGAGAAGAAAGCATTGGCAGCAATGAATGAAGAGTTTTCAGAATTGCTTGAGTTGGAGAATACTCTTTAGTCCGATTGAGTCGATGGAATGGAATAGAAAAATATTTTTGAAGCGCTTTCATCTCAAATAGCTTAACATGTGAAAGAGCAACATCTTGATTTGTCTAGCGATTTGGTGAGAATACAGAACGTTAAAATGCAAATCACTAAAGGCCTTTCTCATATTCTTTGCAATTCTACTATATATTGTATCCTTATGTTCAGCTTTCTTCTTACTTGCGAGCCTGTCGTCTTTAGATGATCATGAGCAGAATTCAAGTCACATACTCCCTGGAGGTTAGCATCCAAGTTACCTCCTGAAAATTGGATTGTCATTTATTCGGATGGATAATGCCACATTCATTCGAAGCTATATAGGATATTTCGGTCTCACGCCACTTTTCCCTCCGTATATACAGAATATGGTAGCGTGGGGGTGGAAAGCCAGTTTTACAATTACATTACTACTTGGTTCGGATTATGGCGAGAATATACAACTGAAGAACAGCTTTGTGACCGAGTGGCAACTAGGTACATAGTCGAATCTTGAAAAGACCATCGAGCGTCGCGAGTGTATTCCTTTACAGCGGATGAGAGAGCTATAGATGTGGCAAAATGGTGAGAGATGTCCTGCCTGACCACCAAAGTTTTATCTTTTTCTACCGTTGTCGTCAAAAGAGTGACTGTCATGACTCGCACGTTATCTACAGGCTCGATGATTCGAGCTGTTAAGAATACAGTCAGAAAAGTTCTGATAGTCTAGAAGAAAAATAAGAAGATGGTGTGTTGGTATCGCAGATGTGGGGTGCGGAGTAGGTCACTATATGTAATCTGGTAATGTGCCGGGATCCGCGATTAACAACTAAAAACGTACTGTTACATCTGGAAAGAATATGCCTATACTCTTCTAAGTCTAGTCACGCTCGTCAATGCGGCAATATCGGGGATTCGAACGACCCACTCTGTTGATTTTACCGATTAACACTTCCGAGGTCGCCCTCGGTTAGGCGAGTTTGTAGCTATCGGGAAGGAGAGGAAAAATCGTTTCGTATCTCGGTTACTTTTTTTTTTGAATACAGAAGGTTCCATGATACCCGCCTGTTGGGATTTATGATGGGGACGACAATACATGCTAAGCTACGTTGCTTCTAGAGATCCACTTCATCTCTTCTCCGCCCCCACGCCCGTTTTAGTGACCTAGAGTGGGGGAGGTAATTGAGTTATTTATCTTTGCTGGTTTATGTTACTACATGTATTCCCGAGGTCTCAAAAGCAAGCGATGCTTACTTAGGTACATAAGGATCTTAAGAGATATTCATCTCATGTTGATAATAGCGTTGTATTTGAATGTATGTATTTCTTTGGTACTCACAAGCTTACTATAAGTGCAGGTGAAGTTAGTAATGATATCGAGACGAAATTCAGGTAAGAGGATAGAATCAGGGGTTTTTATAGACCTAGATGTCTTAGATAACAAAACCAAGTTGTAGTTCATACCTTCTTCTAGAACTATCACTTAGCAAAAACTCATGATTTCAGATCGGACGGTTCCTGAGTCTAGAAGTTCATACTGAGGAATTGGCAGAGAGGAAGATATGGAAAATACTAGATAGGAGCTTTTATATGTTTCATATTCTTTCCTGTAGCTTTTGAGAAAGACTATTGATTGAAAAATACCGGCTTAGTACTCCTCAAGATGCTCATTCTAGAGTATCCAGCAATTTGCCTAAATATACTACAATTTGATCTACTCATTCTATACCCTTTACTCGACAAGTATGCTGATCATTTTGCCTTTCTTTATAACATATTCATTATGGTGAACGTTACTATCCTATCAACTCAAATTCCGAAGAAATTCTGTCCCTTGATTAGGGAACTTGGACGCTCATTTTACTTCTTTGAGTGAGTATTGAGGCGTCTATACTTTTACTAAGTATAAGCATCATCTGACATATAAATATTGTTAACTTACAAAATATATAAACTAATGCTTAATGATATAAGTCAACTACCCCACTTTTCGACCACCTCAAAAACCATATTGCTTTAAGTAATTATAAAATTTATACTTTGAATAACTCAATAATACTTTAATCAATTGATTTGAAATTTTGATATTATTATAATTATAATACAAAGAATCAATATATTAAAAAAAATATTGTAAAGGTTTTTAAAGTAATTATAAATAAAACAAGTATATAAAAAGTTAGTTTAAATTATAATATTTTATATATTATATTTTATAATCGAATATATAGTAAAGTTTTATATTAAAAAAGTATTCAAATACTTCAAAAATTATTTTTAATTTAAAAAAATCAATTAACAAAATAAATATTAATATAAAAAGCTTTTAATATTAGCTTTATATATTATTAAATTAAAGAAATAATAAAATATTTTTTTATTATATAAAAAAAGAATCCTTTATTTAAAAAAAAAATATATATATAGCTTTTTTTGAAAATATTTTAATATTAGAATTAAAAAGTAATATTAAATCGATTTTATATAAATTTTAGATATTATATCTGATATTATTAAAAAGTAATTTCAAAACCTTGTAATTCTTGAAATTAAGATTATTAAGTTAGTTAATAAATAGAATATGAATAAAATAGGTATAATAAAAAGTTAAGATTTTAATGGATTAATAATAGAAAATATTAATCAAAGATTTATTCAAAAAAAACAATCTGAATCTCGAATTTGGATTTTTTTTATAAAATATATTTCAATTAATAAAAAAAGTATTATTCTCTTTATAATATATAAGGGAAAATCAATTCAATAATAATGATTTTCAATTAATTTGATTTTATTTAAGGGTTAAAACTTTATTATTATAAAAAATAAATGGATTATAGATATTATAATTTTAAAATAATTAAAAAAGATTTGTATTTCTTAAATTACCTTTATTCAATTGGAAAATTCAAGATTTCTTATTTTGTATGAATATAGAAACTATAAAACTATAATATTTATATTAGAATATTTCAATAATAATATATATTTTTTATTTCTTTTATTATATATATTATATATATTATAACTATTTGATTTATTTATATTTTTATTTCTAAAAAGTATATATCGAATTAAATTTAATAAATTAAGTTTATTATTCGATTTCTTATTAATTGGAAAGTACAATTTCCTTTTTTGTTATTAGAAAACTAGAATAAAAGGTTTAATTATTCAAAATATTAAGTCTAAATAGTAAATTAATAATTTTTAATTCAAAAATATAACTAAATCTTTTATAAATTGATTTTTATTTGAAAATAATAATAAAAAGATTTTATTATTTAATTCTAAATCTAATAATAATTCTATTTTTTAATAGAATATATATTTATTATTTATTTAATAAAAAACCCTTTAAAAAGAAATCAATATTAGAAAATATAAAAATATAATAATTTAAGAAAAAAAGATTGATTTATTAATATAAAGATTATTATTTTATAAAATTATAGAAGGATTTGATATTAAAAATTATAAATTTTTAAAAATAAAGAATAAAATTAGAAAATTAAAATATCAATTAAATAAAATATTATCTAAAAAAAAGCAAAAGGTTATAATATTTCTAAATTCGAAATTTATAAGAATTAGAATTATAAGATATATATAAATTGAAATAAAAGATTATAAAATTAAAAGAAATAATAGTTTTAATATTATAAAAAGTAATTCTATAAGTGATTTTATTGAAATTCAATAATTATTGAGTTATTAAAGTTTTAAATATAGATAATATAATTTTTTTAAATGATCGGAAATAGGGGGTGATTGGAAAGTGGGGTAGTTGACTTATACTAAACAGAATAAAAAATACTAGTAATATGAGTAAACCTTTTTGAGAGACTCCGTTTGATGTTTCTACTAAAAACTATTCGGGTAGAATGTAACGGACGAAAAAGAACACGCTCAGATAGAATCACAATACTTATACTTGTGTCTAAGTATCGAGATGGACATAAGGAGTCTCAGAGGCGAAATCAAACAGTTTGAATCTGATTCACAGACGAAGAATTCCAAAAGGTTTAGGTATATTCTATTTCGGTGTGTGTTTTGTCTTGTGATTTAAGATCGCCTCTTCTTCTTGACTGGTTTGGAGAAATTTATAAAGGAATTCGAATGATGATGGATGTCGCCATCCCGTGGTTTCGAGTTCAAAACCACCGTTCCTAACCCGTGAGCTTTGTTTTCCTGCAAATCCTCGATAGCTGATTTACGCAGGAGAAAATTTATTACGTGAACATTTCCCACATGCTGGACCAGATATCTGGTGAAAGAGTGAAGCCAGGGGTTTTGCTCCATGTGCAGGTTATCATAATTGAAGGCCAAGTGAGTAATCCGCCTCTTGTCCTCTTCCGATGCCCCTTCGAAAGGGTTCTTTCGATAGGTGATATCCCTATTCGTATTGTTCAATCGATTGATATAAACAAGATCTTTCTCGGGATTTTAATAAATAGGACGTTCTAGGAAAGAGGAGAAGCAAGATTGATAGGATTTTAGTGCTATCTCTCAAGATATACGGGTGGCGTGTAAGAGAGCAGGAGGCTTTCATTGGCATGTTGAAATTCGGTCGAAAAGGCACACCGAAAAGTAAGACGTCCGTGGTAGTCTATGATTGGAAACTCTTCATTGATATATCGGTGAATCCCCGTTACACGACCGGTTCTTAGTTAGGTCCGTATGTTTCTCCCGTCAGTTTTCGGAAGATTTGCTTCAAACTCGATGACTCGAGGTGGAACGGCAACGATGGCAAACTCCCAGATCAAAAGCTTAACTTTTTCAGAAGGGATACAAATTTGGTGAAGTTTTTCTCTCCTTCTATTGATCGAACGGTGTGCACTGAAGGGCATCATAGTTTCTTGGTTTGACTTATCCATTTAGACTGGGAGACGTGTTCAATAGTTTTGCGTATAAATTAACAGAAGGTCTCTCTTCTATATATTGAACACGAATGGAACACATACGAATATAATTATATGTACCAAGAGAAGAAGCATA